AAACACCCTGGCACATGCACAGGATCTAGATGTGAGAGGTTCTGCTCCTTGGAGCGTGTGCCTCTACTTTCCCCTGTAGAGGGTGACAGACAGGCCGTAAGGATCCAAACTGTGGCGATGGACCTTGGCACCACTCCTGCTTCCATTGGCTGTGGGTGCACTCCCACCTGCAGAGCCCAGGCTCAGAGGCCCTGTCTACTGGTACTGGCAGCTGGGCAGTGGGTTGTGGGCAGCTCCTGTGCTCATGGGATTACGGGCAGTGGTACGCACAGCAGGACAGATGCAGCACACAGCCCTGCACGACTTCCCCATCAGCCTCCTCACGGAACTGCTGACAAGAGACAATGAGACCACAAAGGCCCCTAAAGCTTCACCTTGGACTCTGGGTCCCTGGCTGGTCATCCCATCACCTGACACCCTTGGGGCCAAGTCCCAGGAAGCATGTTGGAAGGCTGCCTAGCCCTGACAGCAGCTGCCTTTCAAGCTTGGGCCTACATACACAGCCGGAGGCAGAAGGTTGTGTGCAGTGGGTGGGAAGTGGCAGGTTTAAAACAGGACAAACAAATGTTAGACACTTCTGCGCTTCAGGGCCAAAAGCTCCATGGTGGTCTGGGTTGGGAACAGTGATCAGAGACCAACCAACCGCCTGAAAACTTCATAGGCAAGAACTGTCTTCCTGATTCTGTATACATGGGTACATGGATGACTTCAAGCAGTCGTGTTTGATAAGGATTTGTTCAGTGAAAGACCATAATTCTTTAAAAAGAGTATTAAGAGCTTAGCACCTGGCTGTCTGGAAAGGATATAGGTCTGGCCGTTGGGTTCCTGGAGTAGGAGTGGAGATCACAAAGCACTGTACATCTCTTGAGGAGTGGGGACCCTCAGGTGAGCGGGGCCAGGGCGCTGCATGACCCCTAAGGAGCGGGGACCCTCGGGTGACTGAGGCCACAGAGGACCATGCATCCCCCGTGTTAGGCCGGCATCTCCAGAACCAGGGCCTCCCGCATGGGCTGGGACTGGGCCAGCACACCCCAGGACCCAGAAGGCAGTCAGCATGGCTGGAAACAAGAGGCTCCGGGAGTGTGACCAACAGGCGCTGGCACAGACAAGGAGGCTTCGGCATCACCGAATGTCTGTCCAGTTGCTAAATCCACAGGCAACATTAGGGTTTGCTGAGCTGCTCCTGACAGCAGAAGAGAAGGAACTCAGATCTGTTGCCGCTGAAAGGGCTCTCAGTGCTGCCTCTTCAATCTTCGATGCTTCCACTTGGTTTCTGTGTTGAAACACAGTGTGATGATGTATGATTTATATGTAACCAAATGGCTACGTAAAAATACATGTGTGCGTCTACATGCAGGCACATGACTGTGTATGCAGGTACATGCGTGCACACATGTGAAGACCAGACTGCTCCAGGAAGGAGGAGCCTGGAAGAGAGTTCTGGAGGGACGTGTACTGAGGATACGGAATGAAAAAGAAGGGCCTACGCGCTGGCCAGGCAGGAGGTTCGCCTGCACACCTGGTTCAGCCTGAGCGTCTCTCCCCCAGAAGCTGAGGAGCCAGCACAGGTTCCACAAGGTCTCATTTTCTACAGCTGGTCCCAGTCGAGCCCGTCACAAAAAGGCCCGGGTCACACCAGGTTCTCTGTCACTGTGCACTCCAAGGCCGTCTTCCAGATCCTCCCAGGAGATCCATCGGCTCCCAAATCTGGTCACAGCCTGCTGTCCGGGCTAAAGGGAAAGTCCCAAATGGAGCCACGAGGCCCAGTGGGACCATGAAGGGTGGGTGGCTGTGGACGGGCGTGCCCACCCCAGGCTCTCAGTGGCTCCTCCAACTCGAGAGCAGAGGGCAACCCACCGGCATCTCCCAGCAAAGCCTTCTAAACAAATTCTGACCCCGTTTTTAGTAATTAGCCACAGAAACTTTCTTTCCACAGCTATATTCTCCAAACGAGACAGTGGGAACAAAAAGCTTTGATCTTGATATAAAAGATATCAACAATAAAGGCCTCTTTTTAAACTGTAAAAGTAAATAAATCCAAAGCATGCCAGCCCACACACATCTGACACATGCCTAGCCATGCTCCCATCAATGACAGAATAAGAGACTCTAGGCACTCAGAGGCCTTGCAGAAAACAGAACGCCTGTCTCGGAAAGCAGGCGCTGAGAACTCAGCATGGGCAGCCACGGCCCTTGGGCAGGCCAGACTCTTCTGCAGCCTCAGCTGACATGCTGCTGCTAAGAGCCGCATCTACCCAGTCCCCAGTTTCATCCCCTACCCGTCACTTCCCACACGGCTCCCACTGACTGCTGGACACAGGTCCACCGGCCTCGTACTGCACTCAGCATCCCACAGTCAGGCACCGGCCACATCCGTCCCCAACAGTTTGACGCTCCCCCCTGCGCCACCTCCATGAAAGCCAACCCTGTGGCCCCACTGCCAGAGCTTGGCAGGCCTTGGAGGCCCTTTTCCCCAGACAACACCACCTGGCCTCTGCTCCCCCTCCCGCAGCAGACACTAGACGAAGCCCGCCTGGCACAGCCACACAGCCTGAAGTGAGCTCCTGGCCCACCTGGAATGACCTTCTGTGCCAACTCTTAAGTCTCACTCAAATGCTACCTGCTCTCTGAGGCCCCGGGCCCACCCCTCTGCATCGTAGGGTCTTTAACGTTAGGGCTGCTTTTGCAAGACACAGCATGTGGGAGGCACGTTTCATTCACCTATGCACAGGGACAGCCAACTTCAGCTTGGAAGGGGTGCTGTTCCCATGGCCAGTGCTTGACCAGCATGTGGCAGGAGACAGCTGGCCCACCCTGGCCAGGTTCCTCTTCTCTCTCCCCAGCCCCGGTGGCCAGTGATGCTTTGAAGCTACAAGTCTGGTGGTGACTCTTCTCCTTTACAACCTCTCACAGGACAAAGACCCAGATCCTCACCACGGCCACCTCCCTGCCATTCTCTCCCCTCCGACATCACCCTCACACACAGCCCACACCCCCGCGACCCAAAGACCACACAGAGGCACTCTCTGGAGGCGCCCCTCCCAAGTAGCCACTGTCACAGCACACGTGAGTCTGCAATAGAGCCATGATTCTGGTGAAGAATGTCCCCCAAGGCCCCATTACACTGTGACACCGGTGAAGACGGAGGACGCATGGCTATGCTCACCACTCCATCTGCCTCAGCGCTCAGCCTGAGTACGCCCACAGCACACACTTAGCATTCGAACAAATGAACGGCCGAATGAACGAAAAACAGCTCCCCTAAGAGTGCTATTTTGTTTTTTTTCTTGAGTCGGAGTCTCACTCTGTCGCCCAGACTGGAGTGCAGTGGCCGCTCCCGGCCACTGCAGCCTCGACCTGCTGGGCTCCGGCGATCCTTCCGCCTCAGCCTTCTGAGTGGCCGGAACTACAGGCGTGCGCTGCCATGCCCGGATAGTTTTTTTGATTTATTGTAGAGATGAGGTCTCGCCAAGTTGCCCAGGCGGGTTTTGAACCTGTGGGCTCAGGCAATTCACTCACCTTGGCGTCCCAAAGTGTGGGATTACAGGCTGAGCCACCGAGCCCGGCCAAGAGAGCTATTTTTAATGCCCTGGTCTGTATGTGAAAAACGCTTCAGAAATGATGGAGAAAACCCCAAACCCAGAAGAGATCACAGCCGCCCTTTGTTGGCCATTTCCTGGGCTGAAGGCACCACATCCCTTTTCTTGTTTTCCCCTCAACAACCCAGCAAAGTAGGAGTTGTCCAGCCTCTGCCGATCAGAACCAGAACCTCAACGAGAGTGTGACACATATTCAACACCACTCCAGAAGCTGCTGGGACCATAGACTGCTTTCACAGCCACAGCATGGCCTAGGGAGGTCATGCTCTCTCCACCTCCACCATGTTTCACTGCGGGGCCATCCAGTGCCCACTGGAGCTGTCTGAGTCCCCGGGTCCCAGCTTCTCTGACCCAAAGGAAGAAATCCTGGATGCCAGGGTGCGGCCTGCAACAGATGCACAGAGCAGACAAGTGGCCCACATGCTGAAACCCCCTGGAGCCACAGGCTACCCTGCCACCCCTGCCCCAACCCTTGTCGCTGCCTCCCACAAAAGGTTCTGGCAGGACATTCGATTTGCCCCACGGCCACCTTCAGTCACCAGTGGAACAGAGGGAGAGCCAGGAGCTGTGCCTATGTCTCCCTGGAAATCTCTTACGCAGGGATCCTGACATGTCTACAGGGCAGAGGGGAGCAAAGAGCTCCAGGAAAGAACCTGCTCTGAAGTCCTGCTCACAAAGGAGCAACGTGTGGCAGGAGCTGGGCAAACAGACGGCCCGAGGAGAGTGAGGGCAAAGGGCTGGCAGCTCGTCTCGCGTGTGGGCTCAGGGGCCCTGTGGGCACATGGGAGGCATGTCTGGTCTGGCTGCTGCTTCTATGAAACACGTTCCCCTGAGCCCCTTCTCTAAACCCCAGTGCTCAGACCCCTGCTGCCCACAGGCCTGGTGCGCAGGCAGACGGCGCTCCTGGGGGCTTCTGTTTTGTCAGCAACAAAGCCAGGTCCCACCAGACGGCCCTGTGACAGGAGTATCTGCTCTCTCCTGAGCACTGGGGACACCGAGGAGCCCACTGGTCAACGCTGGCTGAAGAGATGATGCTGAAAGAAGGCCCAGGCCAGCAGAGACTGAGTGTCTCTGCAGAAAGGAACCTAAGTGGATGGAACGTGACTTAAAAAGAGAACGTCTTCCAGGAAGGCAACAGAGGAAGGTGACACAAACAGACGCCAGCTACTAATGGAGCAGCAAGATGCAGAGAAGCCACAGCTCAGAGGAGGGGACAGCAGGCTGCTGGGGGACAACTGAGCACGTTCTCCTTCTCTGTGGGGAACACACTCAAGCATGCCCCCCTCTTCTCTGGGGGACACACTGAGCGTGCTTCCCTCCTCTCTAGGGGACATACAGAACGTGCTCCCTCCTCGCTGGGGGACACACTGAGCGTACTCTTCTTCTCTCTAGAAGACATACCTGAGTGTATTCACCTCCTCTCTGGAGAACAAGAAGCTCTGCTCAGCTGAGTTTGACTGAGATTTTAGCATCTTCAGCTCCATCTCCAGCTACGAGAAACCACAGAGCAAAGGGTCAGTGGAATGCAGGTGCACCACAAGCCAACCTAGAACCCTCAGTCCAGGCCTCGGAGAAAGTACTCAGCAGACCCCCTGGCTGGGAGCTGGGGAGAGATCACCTTCCCAGAAATACCAGAAGCCTGCAGCTGCCAGGCCATAAAGTCTCTAACTTGTCCAGACGCAAATTCTGTTCCTTCTGTCTCCAAAATAGCAACAGACCCACAGTCATCCCGGAAAATGTTGAGGGGAGATGTCACAACCTCTGGGAAAGTGGGATGCACGTACTCGGAAAGAACATATTCTGAACTGGCCACTGCAAAGGAGGCGGGGGCTACTTAGGAAGAGGCCTTGAAATGTGGCTTCAGTAACAGCAGGTGAGGCAAGAAGGGAGGACCGACAGACCCCACGGAGCACCTTCCAGGGAGGTGCCAACATGCACCAGGGCAGCAGGGAGGCCCTTACCAGTGAGGCTGCAAAGCCTCCCAGCAGCCCAGAGAAGGACTGCTCAAGGGGGACCGTGGACCCTGGGCTGGGGATTGACAGAGGCCTGGGAGGTACTGGGAACCACATCACAGGGATGGCATGGGCATGGTGCACACAGGCTGGAGCTTGGGCCAGGAGCCTTGAGCCTCCAGGACATCCAGGCTGGGCACTGGCTCTGCAGTCCAGAGAGCCATTCCTCCACCCCAAAGGCTGGCGCAGAGTCACTGGCCCATCTGTTCGGTTAGCACAGGAGTCTCTGCACAATGGGCAGGGAACCAGAGAGGGGCCCTAGGATGGCTGTCCTCCCTAGCATGCTCCTGGGGCAGACACCATCATGGCCACAGTACGGGTCCTGGGCTGAGGGCTCACAGCCCCAGGGTCATGAGGAGTAGCTCTCAGTTGAGCACCATCAAGTTCACAAAGTGCATCACATCACACGGACCCTACTGGGCACCGAGGACATGGCCCTGCTTTCTTGGGCTCTCAGGCTGGACTGGTGAGTTTGCTGGCAGTGAGACCCATGGGCCAGAAAATGGCAGTAGGGGGCGGGGGACAGAGCATGGGTTCCCACCAGACCATGTCCTTTTAAGGGTCTGGTTTCCTCTTGCCAAAAATGGAAAGAGTCTAGCAGATGACTCTTGGAGAAGCACTGTCCTTAGTGGCTCCCTGCTGGCTGGCCAGCTTGAGGTCTGAGTGATAGGCAAAGTTCCCAACCTGGAGTAGCACCCTGACTCCCCTTTGTAAGTGCTGTGTTATAAGGGCACCACCAGGGGCCTTGTGCCTACAGAGGTAAGAAAAGTGTGTGTCCTGCACTGGCTACAAGCCCAAGGGAGTGCGGAATACCCACCGGCTGTCTGACCACTGTAGTGGTCAGAACAGGCACTCAGTAACTTCGTATTGAACAAAAGAATCAATGTGAGAGCAGTGCTGTGCCAGGGCTGGAGACGCAGGAACACAGACTCACCCGCTCTGCTGGCCCATGGCTTGGGCAAGATGCTCCCAGGGCTGATCTCCCTGCTCCTGCACAGACCTGGCTTTGGAGGGTCCAATTTCCAATTCCAAGGGTTCTTTTCTGACTCTATCACAGACAGTGAGGTACCCTGAGTGGGCCTGGATTTCTCTGAAGGACGAGAAGTACCTCCCGCAGGCTGGCCCGCCCTATGCAGGGGCTTCCCAGGAAGACATTGCCTCCAAGGAGTCACACAGACTATCTGGCTTTCAACATTCAGAGAGAGCACCAGCCACAGTGATGTTGAGGAAATGAGATGATGTCCTGAGTGCAAGCACCCTTAAATAGTTTTTTTCCTAATGATTAAGAATCCTCTCAATCAAAATCACCAGATCTCAGAAAGAACAGCAGGTATAAAGTGGTGGGAGTCTGCAGAAGCCCCCTGAACAGGCCACCATTCACATGACAGTCTGACAGCTGTGAGAGGGCTGACTGTGCATCTCACCATCCCGTCAGGGAGAAGGCTGAGACCAAGGGAGGAGGCGACCAGATCAGGTCACATTATCCACTGCATCCCTTGTCTGCAGCCCCGAGTCATGGCCCAACCGGGAGCTGCAGGTTCTTGGTACTGCCTGAGGTTCCACTCTGTACTGACCAAAGGCCTGTGACCGCATCCAGCTATCCACAAACCCATCAGGGCAGGTGACTCAGGAAGACTCCTTGTGGCTAACGCCTGGCCCTTTGAACAACTTGGTGGGTGCACAGACCCCAGAGTGGGGTCTCCACGTGTACCACATTGGCCTCCACGTGTACCTGGACCTGCACCAGGGACGGCAGGTGTTGCTGTCTACTTGGAGGATGGAAGATGAGGGCGGAGAGGGGACAGAGCACTCACCCCATGGTTGAGGCAAGGGAGATCACATTTGCCTCAGGTTTGCCTTCCTGGGCCCCAATGCATGCTATGCCCCTAGTTCCAGTTGCTTTCTTCTAGAAATCTCCCTAGGCCACTCCTGTAAAGGTCCCCCTGAGGCACTCAGCTCAGGAATTTCTTCTACCCAGAGTACTCTATCTCACTGAAGTACCTGGAGGAAACCTTGTCCCCAAAAGGGACCAAAGCCCAACCAGGTGATTCCAATCTTGGTCAGGGCATAGAGAAGGCACAGCCCTTGTAGGCTACATTCCCGGAGCAGCTCTGGCCAACACCCACAAAGTTAGCATAACCCAGCTGTCTGCTCTACACCTGACCTTGTTGACCTCTGCTGGAACCCTTCGACTTCCAGGAAGCGAGAGACTGTGCATCCTGGCAGACTTTTACAGTGCTCCAGGTCATGGGGTGACACCCATTTAACAGAACAGGCGCCAAGTGACCACATGGGTGAGATGGCATTGCAATGTGGAACAAAGCCTGTTCATGTTCAAGGAGAAGGACATTCACGTGGCCAGTCACCTCCCAACCCCAGAACCTGAAAAGCTCTCCCCTAGAAAGTTGGGGGGCTCAGGTGGAGTTTCTTCCAGGTGCCAAGCTCTCCCAAGGCATGGAGTGCCTTCCTCCTGGTCCCGACATGCAACTGACCTCCTGCACAAAAGCCGGTGTTCCACACTTTTGCAGTGAGGTCAGCTCACAATGGTCTTTCCTGGGGGAGCTCTCAACAATACTTTTGTCCTAAATGTGTCCTTTCTCACATCCATAGCCAAAGACACCAGGAGTTCACCCATTTGACCCTCCCTGGACCAAGAAGATTCTCTCCTGGAGGGACAGAGAACTAGGACTAGCAGTCCACTCAGGGCTCCCTCCTCTTCTTTCTTTTGGGGAATGGGGCAGGATGGTGGTGATCTCCTGAGCAGAGGTGATTCACATCCAAGAACAGAAGCAGATCTTTCTCAGCTACAGTCTGCAGAGATAAGACAAGGTGCAAGACAGAAGATTCTGGAGATTCTCAGGACCTAGTCCTAGACCTTGATGTACCTTACCTGAATTCTACAGCACATTCTGTGGCCTTAAGATTCACAATTCACATACAATCCAGCAATCCCATTCCTGAGCATTGATCCAAAGGAAAGGAAATCAGGATACTGGAGAAATGTCTGCACCCCCATGTTTACTGCAGCAGTATTCACAATAGCCAAGATATGGAATCAAGCCAGGTGTCTAACAACAGACAACAGATAAAGAAAATGTGGTGTATTCACGCGATGGAATACCGTCTAGTCATAAAAAAGAATGAGATCCGGTCATTCATGGCAACACGGATGGAACTGGAAGACGTTATGTTAAGTGAAATAAGCTGGGAACAGGAAGTTAAAAGTCACATGTCCTCACTCACACGTAGAAGCTAAAAAAAAAGAAAAGTTTTATTTCCCAGAAGCAAAAAGTAGAACAAAGGCTATAAGAGGCTGGGAAGGGTAGGGGAAAGGGGGAAATAGGGAGAAATTTGTTGAGCCATACAAAGTTACAACTAGATAGGAGGAATAAGCTCTAGTGCTCTACAGCACTGTAGGATGTCTATAGTTAACAGTAACACCCAGTTTCAAATAGCTATAGGGAGGACACTGAATGCTGCTAGCATAAAGAAATGATAAATGCTTGACAGGATGGATCTGCTCATCACCCTGACCTGATCACACAAATATTTAGTCACTACGTGTCAATCTAAAACACAGATCCACGGTTCTGACAATGAATACGAAAGGACAGACACTGAACAGTGTCTCCCCAACCACAGACCTCATAACCCAGGCCCCGATTCTCATCACCAGTGTTCTGAGGTGTGCATGTCCCTCCTGGAAACAGTGCACAGACCTGCACTATATCTGTGTTCTTTCCCCACTCTTTATTTTTTAAATAAAAATGATAAGATATCATACACATTGCTTCATACCTTTCTTTTTTAGGTTATTTTGGAGTTATTTCCAAGCCAACTCAAAGAGTGCTTCTTGGTCCCTTCTTGTTGTGTCATGTGCTCCACAGTGTGGATATTCCACTGTTCCCAGTCCCTACTGATTGACATTGTAACTGTGTCCAGTCTCACAAGGCAATGCTTATAAGCTGTGCTGAAACGAACATAGCTGGAAAGCTCTGGCTCCCGCTTGGGTGATGGTATCTGAAGGGTGAGCTCTCACACGTCTCTTCCTTTAGTCAAAGGGGTGTGTTCACTGGCAGTTTTGGCAGATACTGCAAGACTGCCCCCAGATGTCAACCCAGATGTCTCAATACCCTGGATCACAAGGCTTGATCATCTCTTCCCACTTCCAGATTCAAGACGCTACTATATCACTCACTAAATTCCAATTTGTAACTGGGTTGACCTGGGTTCCTATTTTGTCCCAAACTCTTCTCCCTCCACCAAAACAAAACAAAACAAAACAAAACAAAACTCCCCCCATTAAAAAATTGGGACTGCGATAGATTTACAGATTAATGGTAGGAGAATTTACATCTATAGGATACTGACTCTCCTGTTCAAGAATAGAATCTTTTCATTTGTAAAAGCTTGTAAAATTTTCTTTGTACAGATTTTTGTTTTTCAGTCAGGGTCTGTCTCACTCTGTCATCCAGGTT